TGTTAAGACTGAACTGTGTAGAAAATTTCATCGCGATTGGACTCTCCTTTCAAAAGTTATCGTGTTAACGGCCGGCCGGCCGGACGGACACACTGACCGATTCTAGAGTGTACTCACTTTTTGAGTACACAAAAACACGAGTCTAGGTTTCTCAAAAAAGGTGGACTAATAGAGTTCCTTATCTTGATATTTATTTGTTAAAACATTTCTCATAATTAAATCATATGTTTATGATTTGAAAACTTACAAAATTAAGTCCTTCAGTAGCTGGATAATGAGTAGTCTGTGGATGAATTGGTGTTGGTCGTGATGTATTTTCTGAAATAGTTGATGATCGTTGTTGTTCAATAGGTTTAAAACCAGTTTTTTCTTGTGTAGCTGCTAATGATAAACGATTTGATGCTGTTGGTTGTGGTGTTCGTAGTACAGGCATGGGTAATGTTTGTTTTCCAATTGTTTTACCATTTAACAGTGGTTCCGTATATGATTGTTGTTGACTTAGGGAATTTAACAATGGTGAAGATACAGGATGACGTGTACGCGATACAACAGTAGTTGCTGTTGAATGTGAAACATTTGTATCTAATGATCGTGCTGAAAATGATGTTGATCTTGGTGCAGGATGTGTTTGTAATGATGATTTTGGATCAATACGAAGAATTTGTTCAATTAATAAATCAACTCGACATAGAGCTGAAAAAGAAAAATTAATTTCTTTAGAATAAAAATTCTTTTATTTAACCTTGAACAGCTTCAATTGCTAATTCATTAATACGTTGAGTTTTTGGTAGAAGAAAATCAAATGATGATGATGATTTCATTTGATCAAAAATAATTTGTCGACGATATTGCCATAAATCTGTTTGATGATCAATACCAATTGAGATTTTATTCATATATTCTTTTGCTTTATCATATACCACAAATAAACGACTGAAAAATAAAAAATATTTAATTTATTGAATTAAAAAACAATTTTTTGTTTTTCTTCATTTGTAACATACTCAATTTCGTCAACAACTATACTTCCATTTGATTCGTGACTCATAATAGAAACTTCAATTCTTTGAACAGCAAATAGATAAATAAGGAAAAAAAATATAGACTCAAACAAACGATTAAAATAAAACATGGAATAACTAAATGCACCTATGAAAAATATCGATTTAGAGGACGAATGAAAATTATCTTGTTTTTTTTTTTCTATAATAATTGCAATTTAAATGAAGATGATTAATATTAATTGGCAAAATATATTATACAACTGAAATATGAAAAAAAAAAAACATGTGTCGCCAGTCATACTTTTTGCATTGTGGGAAAATTATTAATACAAAAGAAACCGAACAGATTTTGTGCAATAAAATCAAAGACATAACAATTGTTAAATTTATTTATCTATAAAAATATTTAACTATTATCAATCGTTCTAATCTAGTATATCTCTCAAAATCTTTGGTTTTCTTCGTTTATAATTTCAAAGATGAACTTAATGAAGACGAAATAGGTTGCATTGATAATTTCAATAAGGCAAAAATAGATAAATATGATTCAAATATTATTTTTTTCTTTAAAATAATTTATTTCTCTATCTTCTATGTTTAAATGAGATTAGAATACTACATAATATCGTTAAAAAAAATTCAATTATTATAATTAAATATTTTCACGTTTAGTATCTGATAGTGGCTTTAAAGAATTTTAGAAAGACTGTAATGAAAATTTTTTTTTTGTTGATTGATGAAGCTCTGTAAAGATTTTATCGCAGAATAAGATCGTCTACATTTTAATATAATCAATATTATGAAATATCTTGAAATATACATCGACAATAGGTTTGTATTTTTGAAGATTATAGCAAACAATATTGTTTACTAAATGATCAATTTCAATAATTGTGAAATATCTATTAAAAAGTGAAAAAGAAGTATTTGAGTGTGATAAGAAATGATTTATCTGTCAATAATATTGGATTCAAAGTCAATATTGCATTTTTTATGGAAGGTATATTAAATGAATGAATGATCTACTATCTATTAGATCGTTATATGCTACGAAATTGGTACAAAATGCAGTTGAATGAAGTGAAATTTTTATTTTACATTTGAAATTCATTTGCATGGTTCGGTAATCGACTAATTTATCTATTTTTAATTAACGATCTATTTGTTATTCACTACTTGAGACAAGTGTGAAAACTCTTAGAGATAGTATGGAACAGAGCTGCCAGCCTGGCCTGCACCGGCCTGCCAGGCCAGGCCGAGTTTTAATATTTTAGCCTGGCCTGCTCCAGGCCGGATTAGATTCAGCCTGGCCTGCAGGCCAGGCCAGGCCGACATTTGTGGCCTGAATGACATGTAGTCATATTTTTCGTGCAATG